AATGTGTGGTGACGTTGTGATCCACCCTGAGCTTTGTATCATTGTGACTGGTCTTGTGACCGTACACTTTTGGTTTTGTTAGACACCCCTCACTTAGGCTATAGGGGTGTGTCAAATGTTGTAGCCTTAGTGAGGTTTGTCTTAGGGGGTACAGATGTTAGGGTTTGTCATATGTACCCCAACCCACATCAATGAACCAACTCTTTCGTTCTTGACAGATAGGTTCACCCGAGTCGGGGCTTACCTGAAGCGGCTTCAGGCAGATAGACGGCGTGCACGAGGATGTGAACAGGGCCCAAAATTGGTTTAGGCCTACCCTTACGAATCAGGGTACCAGCCCCTCCTTAACCAGACCCCTAGGGTAAAAAAAATTCATACCCTGTTTTCAGCAGGGTAAATGTACCACTAGCCTGATTTGAGCAGGGTAGTTTTAGGCTAATTCTGTTTTTGTATCTATTTTGTGAGTTAACTTATTTTTAATGATATACACAAGTAGCACATTCAGAGTCCATGAAGTCAACACACGCAACTGGCCGTTTCTTCCACGGGGCGGGCCTTGTTATGGCCAGCAAGGCAGCACTGAGGCTGCAAGTTGTTGTTAAGGACAGCTTGAAGCTGTCCTTGACAGCCAATTCTGCTGTGATGGCGGTGGGCGTGGCGATAAGTGACGAGGATCAATAATTGTTGGCAGTCCTGCGGCAGAAACAACCAATGAGGATTCTTGGCGTGCTGCCAACTACGATGCAAGTTTCCATGCGCGTGGGCACGATCAACAACGGGTGTTTGTGGAGGTGTTGTACGTTTTGTCACCACGCGGACTATGGTCTGATTCGCGTTAGAAAAGATTCGGTAACAGGGTAGTGTACACCAAACCCTGATTCCGCCAGTGTAAGCTAAAAACCTAGCAGGGTAAAATAAAACATGCTCATTTAAGAGAAGGGTAACTATTTCGCAATCCTGATTTCAGGAGGGTAATCCTGAAAAAGCGGCCGGCCCCCAGGGTAATCAGGGTGTTTTACCCTGATATTTTGGGCCCTGGATGTGAATGACTTCTGAGGCGCCTCAAAAGTCGTCTCAGATAGACGACATGGACGAGGCCGTGAATGACTTCTGAGGGCGCCTTGATGGATCATTGAGACAAGCTCATTCTATTGTTGTTGAACTGACAAAAATCACTCCAATGCATATAGCATATAACATTAATCATTATGGAGAAGGCAAGCATAGGGTGGTTGCGCAAGCACATGCTACCGTAGCTTTCCCAACACAAGCAAACCACCAAATATTTCCAGCCCACCAATCCTAGAAAGATATAATAAACTAGAACACACAAGAAAACAAGCAAATTCAAAACCCACAACGCGCCCCACCACCACAAGGCCATCCCTGCAAGACACTCGGAATCACTCCAACAACGGCCAACGCAATCTAGTCATCGCCGTCATTGTCGTCATTGTCCCCGCGTCCCCCCTTCCTCCCTCCCTTCCTGCCTGCACCACTCCCATTGCAGTTTCCAGACCCGCTTCCATTGCAGTTCCCACCACCTCCCCCACCACTCCCTTTCCTGCCCGCACCACTCCCATTGCAGTTTCCAGACCCAGACCCACTTCCGTTGCAGTTCCCGCCTCCCCCACCGCTCCCCCTCAACCCCGCGTCAGCCCCCTTCCCTGCGCCCGCGCCCGTGCGTCCAGCCGCTCCCTGCCGCCCGCCCCCTCCACTCATGCTGCCCGCTCCGCCTGCACCTGCGCCACGACCGCGGCTCTGCTGCTGCCCCGAACCCTGCCGACCAGCACCGCTGCCGCTGCCAGTGCAGCCGCCAGATCGCGAGCACGAGGAGGAACCAGAGCTGGAGCCGGAGCCGTCGCGCTTGCGGTCGCGGTCGCGGTCCTGGTCGCCAGACCCGTCCCTCTTGCGATCCCTCTCCCGGTTGTCCGCCACCACGTACCCCGCACTCTGAATGCTCGCCGCCGCCGCGTTTCTCCCCGACCCTCCGCCCCCGCCGTTGCACGAGCCGGACACGCTGCCGCTGCAGTTTCCGCCGCCCTTCTTGCCTTGTCGCACCTTGCCAGCGCTGTTGCTGCCGCCCAGCTGCCCGCCGCGACCCGCACCCGCGCCAGCGCCGCTCCCCGTTCGTCCCGCTCCGCCTCCGCGCCCGCCTGCGCCGCTTCCGCCCTGCCGGCCGCTGCCCTGCCGGCCGCCGCCGCCGCTGCCTGTGCAGCCGCCGGATTTGCTGCAGGAGCCGTCGCCCTGCTGGCCAGTGCCAGTTTTCTGGCGGCTGCCGCTGCCGCTGCCGGTGCAGCCGCCGGACTTGCTGCAGGAGCCGTCTCTGTCGCGGTCCCTGTCACGATCCTGGTCGCGGTTGCCGGAGCCGTCCCGCTTGCGATCGCGCTTCGGACGGTCGTCGTCGTCGTCGTCGTCTGCGACGGCGAAGGTCGCCAGACTGGCAACGACGAGCAGGAGGATCCCGAGGGCGAGAAGCTTCGACGAAGCCATAATGATGATGGTGGCGATACGCTGGTGGGTGAAACCCTGGCGGAAGGTGTCAACGACGGAAGGGCTGCCTCCGGAACGATTACGGTCGGGAGTGGTACTAGTGGTTGCAGTAGGATCTGCTTGCAGCAGCAGAAGTACGAAGTATCAGCTCGGAATGAATGGTGTAAGAAGGATTAGCTATTAAGACTGGATGAGTAGAAACGGCTCGCTTTCCCGAGGGATGGTGTGATGAGAATCGGGAACGAATTCGGAATCTTTATAGTCGGTACATCTGTCGGGGTGTGGCGCCACCGCCGCCACAGACGCAGCGGGAGATGCGGGAGGGGAGAGCCCAGCGGAGACTCGAGAGTCTGCCGCGGGGAACAACGTATGCGACGTCCAGCGTCGCATTGGGCCGCCCTAGAAAAGTGCGCGCGCGGTGAGAGCTGGTAACCCCGATTCATTCGCATCTTCGGCGAGCGCGCGGCGGGGAGAATGGGAGCGAGAGTGAGAAAAGCTTGCGCCGCGAACGCCGTGGGTGAGGAAGGGGGAAAGGAGGAGAGGACTCGTGGGTCAGAAGCAGAGGGTCTACCGGCGCAGGAAGTTTCCTTAGAAATGACGAGCGGAATGGCTCTGTTCCGCCTCCCCGCGACGTACGCGGATGTTGTGCGCGGTACTTTCCTTGGAAATTGGCTGGTCGGATGGCTCGGCGCGCAAGGAAAAGCCTCGGAGGACTGTCATAGAAAGCACAGACGTACGGTAGCATTGCAGTACCGTAACTCCCTAAGATACCGTCCAATGGTATGATAGCGTGAGCTGAGCTGGCGCGCGCAACCCTTGTGCTCGCGGGGCGGAGACTGTGGCGCGACGCGATGGGATGGGAGCAGCTAGCTACCTGGTGCGATAGTTTCTGGCGAAGGCTCCTACTGGCCTGTGTCAGGTAGCGCTTTCGGTCGAAGCAGCGGGAGACAGTTGTGTTGGTGAGGCTTCGTTAGAAAACCAGAAAAAAATGTTGCATCGTGTATTCATTTCTTTAGGTAGGAAAATAACCCTAATGATAAGATCAGTGAAGTGCTACTGTAATATAAGCATTTGGGGGCTACCATGTAGCAAAGATTTGTGCAATGTTTGTGGGTTCTGTTTCGCTTCTGATGTAATGAGCTGTGGGTTCACTGTCACCATAGATGGTAGATATCAGTTGCGTAGGGCAAAAATAAATATGTGTTCCTCTTTGACTTAAACGAAACAAATACAAGAGGACGAATCAAGAACCCCCTTCTACAACAGTCAGAAATTCCCACTTGCCCTTTCAACCCCATCAGGAATTGACTGGGGTTGGGTGGGACAGATTTCAGCTCGCCTTACAAATTCATATCTGGAGGAAGCGCCATCGTTTTCTGGGTGGTGGAGGGTACCTGCGCTTGGGTGGTGGGGGCCTGGGAGGAGGGGGTTTCGGTGGTGGGGGGCTGGGCTTTTTAGGAGGTGGGCTGGGAGGGGGTTTCAGAGGTATGGGAGGTGGTTTGGGAGGAGGAGATGGAGGAGGTTTGGGGGGAGGAGAGGGAGGGGGTCTTGGTGGGGGAGAACTTGTGAGTGATTTCAGTGGTGGGGGGCTTGGGGGTGGTCTAGGGGGAGGGGAGGGTGGAGGCATAGGGGGAGGGGAGGGCGGAGGCTTAGGGGGAGGGGAGGGAGGGGGCTTACCAGTGGTTGAAGTCTTGGGAGGGGGGGAAGGAGGGCGAGGGGGAGGGCGTGGGGGAGGGGAAGGCGGAGGGGGAGGCTTGGGGGGATTCGGGGGAGGTCGGGGTGGGGGAGATGGGGGCCTGGGGGGACTTGGGGGTGGGCGGGGGGGAGGCGAGGGTTTTGGGGGAGGCCTTGGAGGGTTTGGAGGGGGGCGGGGGGGTGGGCGAGGGGGAGGGGAAGGGGGAGGGTTGGGGGGGGAGGGAGGGGGAGGCATGACAGCCTGGAAGCAGGGGGAGAGGTGGGGGAAGGAGAGGGTCTGATCATAGTAAGAGAAGAAGAGAGTGTAGGAGGGAGAGGAGACAAAGTCGAGAATGTGAGTGGTGTCAGAAGCAGGAGAAGCAGGGGTGGAAGAAGCAGGGGTGGAAGAAGCAGGGGCAGTGGTGGTTGAAGTGGCAGGGGCAGGGGCAGCAGCGGTGGCAGTGGGAGCAGCGGGGGAGGAGGAGAAGGAGGACCAGGTGTTGAAGGGCACGGGCAGCTGAGAGCCGTTGGATCGGAGAGCAGCGGTGAGATTCCAGCAGTGCGACGGCAGCTGCGATGCAAATGACATGTGCGCCCACCCCCCTGCTGCTGCTGGTGCGAGGGCAGACCTGCGAGCATGGCGAGGAACATGGCACGTGGGTTGGTTGGACGAGGAAAGGTTGCTGAAGTTGGGAGATTAACACCACAGGTTTTTTTTTTTGGTTCTGTTTTCTCTCTCTTACTTCTTTTCTCCCCGGTGGTGTGCCCAGCAATCTGCAGGTAAAGTACTGATTAGAAATGACAACCATTCATCACTCCGCTTCTTCACTCACCAGTCTACAGCGACAGTGAGCTTGGCGCGCGTCTCGCTGGTGAAGAGCGGGCGGCCGAGCGTGAGAGCAGCAGAGGGCACGGCGGTTACGGGCAGCACGCGGTTACCAGCGCTGCTGTAGATGGCCTCCGGCTGCTCGTCCCCATCATCGTCCACCAGGAAATCCGGCAGCCCGTCGTCTGTAGGAACAGGTGAGATTGATAAGACAACAGTGGAAGGAGGCAACACAACAATGAGGGAGGATGGTAAGGGATGGCATCGGTTCAGGCCCTGCTCGTCCCCGTCGTCGCCGTCGTCGTCCACCAAGAAATCCAGCAGATCTTCGTCTGAAGGAACGAGTCAGACATAGAAAGGATGGGTTGGGTGAGAAACTCTGTAAGGGTTAGAAACTCTGTAAGGCACCAAGGTGACATGACATATCAACTCATAACTGACACATGCACATGACTCAGTCTGGTCAGGAACCCTATAAGCTATGGTCTGAAACGTGGCAGTTGGATTAAGCAGGGAAAGATTAGAATAAGATGGGATGGGAGGGGACGGGATGGAATGGGATGGGATAAGATGGGAGGGGGTGTACCTGAAGCAGAGTCGGGTAGGTAGACGACGTGCACGAGGTTGTGAATGTCAACCGACTCGAGAATGGGGGAGAGGCCGGTGAGCGGGGAGGAGGAGGTGGTGGTGGTGGTGGTGACTGTATCGAATGTGCCTGTAAGGCTGGATTCTATGGTCCAGCGCACCATGGCTGTAGCAGAAGGAGGGATGCTTCCCACCTGGGGGCGAGGAGAGGAGAGGAGGGGGAAGAGAGGTCGGGGAGAGGGGGGGAGAGAGGGAAAGGAGAGGGGGGATGGGGCGGGATGAAGGGGTGGGTCAGGATAGGAATAAGCAACTGGTATGTGTGTGCACGTGCACGCGCATGTGTGTGTGTGTGTGTGTGTGTGTGTGTGTGTGTGTGTGTGTGTGTGTGTGTGTGTGCGCGCGTGCGTGTGTGCATGTTTGCACGTCACCATGTCCACATCAGCATGTCTACGTTAGCATGTCCACAGACGTGCACATCAGCATGTCCACATCAGCATGTCTACGTTAGCATGTCCACGTCAGCATGTCCACACCTTCACGGAGAAGGATGTCGGCTGCGGCTCATTGCCCAGCACTGTCTTGGTGATGTTGAAACTCATGGCGGCACTGCTCGTGTCACCCGTTGTGGTCCCGCCGTTACTTGTGGTTGTAGCGCCCACGTCAGCAGCGGTGGTGATCCTTGCAGCAGTGGTGGTGCCGACAGCAGTGGTGGTGGTGGTGGTGGAAGCAGTGGGCAGCAGTGACTGTGTGGTGATAGCAGCAGCTGTGCCGTGGCCGGCGTTGTAAAAGAGTGCTCCAAGTGTGACTGGCACCGGTGCCTCCACCTTTTATGAGAGAGAAACAGAAAGAGGGATAGAAATCAAAAGAGAGGCACACAAGTCACTGACAATATCCTTGAATCTGTTTTTTGAGCATTCTCAAAAGACACCAGAAACAGCCTTGCCAGTATTCCCACTCGCCCACTCTCCGATGCCCACTCTCCCCATGCGGACCTGAGGAGTGGTGAGGTCGTCTCCTTGCACGTGCCGGGGCACGAAGTAATGCACTTGCAGCTCGGGAGGAGGGGCCACCGTCACTCGCACACTCGTAAGCAGCAGCTCTATCCTCTTCACCACCGCTGCTGCTGGCACCGCCTCTGCTGGCGCTGGTGCTGTTGCAGGTGCTGATGCTGGTGGTGATGATGGTGGTGGCGCTGATGTGCCTTCAGCAGCAGCAGAAAGTGATGGCGTTGGTGTCACAGATGCTGACGGGTCTCGCAGTGTGTACTGAAGACTGCCGCCCAGCTGGAAGTTCGTGGGAGCAGCTGAGGCGGCGCAGTCAAGTGGCAGTAACAGCCAATCGATGCTGGCAAAAGCATTTGACAGGATGGTACCTAGAGAAGGGGGGGAAGACAGAGGGGTGGTGATGGGAGAGGTAAAGATGAGGTGCGGGCTTGCTTGCTTGTAGTAACAGCAGTCAAGCAGTCGTAAGACCCAATGAATAGTGGCGTAAGCATTAGAGAGGGAGGGGAAGACAGAGGGGTGGTGATGGGAGAGGTAAAGACGAGGTGGGGGCTTGCTTGCTTGTAGTAACAGCAGTCAAGCAGTCGAGAGGGAAAGTTGAGGTGGGGACTTGCTTGTAGTCACAGCAGTCAAGGAGTTGTAGCAGTCAAGCAAATGCAGTCAAACAGTTGTAGCAGCCAACAAATAGTGGCATAAGCATGTTTTGAGACGTCTTAAAACAGACCTGCTTGTAGTCGCAGCAGTCAAGCAATTGTAACAGCCAACAAATAGTGGCATAAGCATTTGGCAGGATAGCAGCTAGAGAGGGAGGGGAAGACAAGTGGTGCACCCACCCATGTATTGCCACGCCACTGAGCGACTCACTTGTGCGTGCCAGCCACGTCGTTCGTGAATTGAATTGAATCTTCTGCAGCAGCGGGTCGCTGAAGTCGAAGCAGCGGGAGATGCATGCCTGGCTGCTGTGCTCAGTGGTGCACACGCATGTATTGCCACGCCGCCGACCAACTCACCTGCGCCAGCCACGTTGTGAATCCTCTGCAGCAGCGGGTCGCTAAAGGCGAAGCAGCGGGAGGCGCATGTGTTGCACCCGTGTGACAATCAACCACCTGTGCCAGTCCCACCTGCCCCAGTCCCGCCCACTCTCACCTGCACCGCTGACGTCGTCAATCCCCTGCAGCAGCGGGTCGCTGAAGACGAAGCAGTGGGAGGCGTCGGTGTCGTTGGGGTAGGTGATGCGTGCCGTCACTGCCACGTCAGCCATGGGGCGATCCTCCATGTTGGACACATACACGTGTGCCCGCACCTGCAAAGACGGGAGGGGAAGAAGGGGGGGGTGATTCAGGGGAATAAGGTCAGCAAGACAGTCATGGGTAGGTGATCCAACACCCATGGGGCGATCCCCCATGTTGGACACGTACACGTGTGCTCGCACCTGCAGAGAGGGAGGGGGGGGGGGGGGTGGGAGTAAAGGGGGAGGAGGGAGAGGGGGTGTGATCTGAGTGATCAAGCATGGGGCGATCCTCCATGTTGGACAGACACACGTGTGCTCGCACCTGCAAAGTGGGTGGGTGGGGGGGGGTGTCACAGAGAGTAAGGCACTTGTAGGTGGCTAATCAAGCAGCCATGGGGCGATCCCCCATGTTGGACACGTACACGTGTGCTCGCACCTGCAGAGAGGGAGGGCGGTAGGGGAGAGGGAGAAGGAGAGAGGGTATGGGCTGGATGGTCAAGCACCCATGGGACGATCCTCCATGTTGGACAGACACGTGTGCTCGCACCTATTTAAAGGGAGGGCCGGGCCGGGGGGGAGAGGGAGAAGGAGCGAGGTGTGGGCTGAGTGGTAAAAAACCATGGGGCGATCCCCCATGTTGGACAGACACAAGTGGGGTTTGTGGGGTTAGGGCAATTAGACATTCATGGTTGGCTATTATACACGGATTGGCCAATCGTTCCACGTTGAATACATACACATGCGCATGCTTTTCTATTCGACTTGACAATCGTCTCATAAGGATTCCCGTGCTGGCGCTGTGATAATAAACTGTTTTTGAGACGTCTCAAAACCAATCGTCTCATAAAGGTGCTTGTGGTGGCGCTGGTGGTTGTGGTTTGGTTGTGTGTTGGCTAGGCTGTGCGACTCACAGCAGGGCGAGAGGCCGAAATTTGACCTTCGAGGCACCTCAAAAGCGGTGCTGGTGGTGGTGGTTGTGAATTGCTCGTGCATTGACTATGCTGTGTGACTCACAGCAGGGCGAGAGGCCGTACTTTGGTGCCGAGAAACAGGCGTCCTTGGAGCCCCTGAAGTGACTTTTGAGTCGACTCAAAAGACACTGTGCGGTGTGACTCACAGCGGGGCGAGAGGCAGTGATCTGATGCCGAGAAACAGGCGTCCTTGGAGCCCCTGGAAGCACGCTGCTGCTGCTGCTGCTGCTGCCTTGGGGAGTGAAATGGAGCTCCACGATGGGCGTTGTCGAGTCGGGGGCGAGCGATGCAAGAGAGACAGATGTGCTGGTGTTGTTGGTGGTGGTGGTGGTTGGAGTGCTGCTGCTGTCGCTGCTGCTGCTGTTGCTGCTGCTGGATGTGGTGCTGCTTGGTTGAGTGGTTGACACGGAAAAAGCACCCAGCTCTGTCTGTTTTGCCGGGTCGAACCGAGCTGTGAGCTCTGCAGTCACGTTGGAAGTCTCAAAAAAGGTTCCTGAGAATGGGTGGTTGTGAAAGAACGGAGAAAAAGAAAGTCCTCAAGACGTTTGGCCAAGACATTACCCAATATTAAGGCTCATCGTCACAAGGCATTCCCCCCCCACACCTACCTGTTGCAGGTTGTTTTTGAGAACTCTCAAAAACAACCCAAGCCATTACCCAACACCAAGGTTCATCGTCACGTCACAAGGCATTCCCCCCCCACACCCACCTCCCACGAACGCCAGGTCGTGAATGATGTGGCGCTCGTTCGCCCCCCACTGCCACCACCACGTGCCAGCTGTGAATCCGACCGATGCTGACGTGGCGCCGAGGATGGCTGGGATGTCCACGTGGGCAGTGAGCACTGGTACAGCTGGCTTGACCGGCGGTGACGTGGAGGAGGAAGTGGAGGAAGTGGAGGAAGCTGATGACGAATCAGAATAAGTGGCAGAGGCAGAGAAAGCTGATGATGAATCAGAATAAGTGGCAGAAGCAGAGGAAGCTCCTCCGAGGAACACGCTGAGCGTCTGGGAAGGCCCGTGGTAGGTCATCCAAGCGTGCTGCTGTGTGTTGAGAGGGAAGGCCTGAAGGAAGGGAAGGGAGGAGTGGAGATGGGAGAGAAGAAAGAGATAGACGGGCAATGAGCGAGCATCAGGGCTCCTGGATTGACCGAGGAAGCTCCACCAAGGAACATGCTGAGCGTCTGGGAAGGCCCGTGGTAGGTCACCCAAGCGTGCTGCTGTGTGTTGAGAGGGAAGGCCTGGATGGGGTTGTTGTGGGTTGTGGGCGAGGGTGGGGTGGGTTGAGGTGGGTTGAGGTGTTCACATAGCATGCATATTGCCAATGCTGGGTGTTACCTCTTTTCATTACATGCATGCCTGAGGGAAACAACGCACCTCTGGATCTGAAAGTGTCACGCCATACTCAGCGTTAGCGCAGCCGTCTCCCGCCACAACTCCCTTAGAGGAGACAGCTATACAGGGTACAGGGCACAGGCGGAACTCCACTGCCACACTCCTGGCGAACGTCCCATTGGCTGAGCCATATCCGACGGAGCTGCAAGGGGAGAGGTGGGAGAAGCATGGAAGCAAGTGAGGGAAGGAGAGATGGAGCTGGTTCTACAGGGCACGGGGCACAGGCGAAACTCCACTGCCAAAAAATTGCGTTGGTTCTGGCCTTGAAAAATTGCGTGATTCTTCCTTCTCGTTGCGCCTGCTTTCCTCCTCACCTTGCATTTGCCTTCCCAAGGGCAGTTGTAGCGCCGCTAGTGAGAACAAAGGCAAAGCCGCGGCCCACGCTCTGAATAAACGGAGCAGAAAGAAGGGAACAGGAAGCGTGGAATGGAAGGATTGGAGAGATGAGATGGAGAAATGGAGTCCACTAAAAAAGCCAGCTTGCTGGTGAAATGAGGGTGGGTGCATGTAAGTGAGGATGGCTAGTGAAGCAAGGCAACTTTTCTTAGGATGTCTCACAAACTATTAATAGTTTGGAACATCAGCCTCAAAGATAGGGCTTTTGGGAATCGTTTTCAGGTTCCTCATTAATTTTTTTTTTTTTTTTTTTTGGGGATTCAGGAACGGCAGTCTCAAAGCGCAAGGAGGGTCAGCCTCCTTTTCAGAATTCTCAAAGTGACTCACCACATTAGCAGCGCACGCATCAGCAAAGAAGGTGAAGGAGAAGGCGGCTTCAAAGGCGGAGGAGCGGGCGGAGGCGGTGAGGAGGGAGAGGGGCGCGAGGGAGAGCGCAGAGCCGACAGAATCGTACGAGTCGAGCCACAGCGGGAAGTGCGGCGCCGGGCCCAGCTGGGCGTAGCCGTTGAGATCAAAGGGGGTGGAGCCGGCGAACCCAGTGCAGTGCAGAGAGGAGGCGGTGGTTTCGCAGGTGGGCGCCTGTGTTGGCTGCGCTGCTGGCAAGAACCCAGGGGACACTGAGGGGTTGGGGTGGGTGGGGGGAGGATGGGCGGGAATTTGGGGCCAAAGCCCGAAGGAGGACAGCACAAAAGGGCTCTCAGAAAGCTGACAGAGAGGGAAGGGAAGAGCCATTAATGGTGATGTCTGCTGGGCCCAGCAGACATCACCATTAACACTTGACTAATAGTTTTCACTGCTTTCCGGTTATTCGTGAGCTGTGAGCTCACCGGTGTTGAAGGAGAAGGAGTGGATGAGGTGGTGGTCGTCTGTGTCGCCACATCCCCACCACCACGTGCCAGCTGTGAATCCCACAGACGCTGACGTGGCACCAATGACTGCCACAAGATCAAGCGACGCCCGCAGCACCGGCTCCTCGGGCTTTAAGCCATTGCTGCCACCCAGATAGACCTCCAATGACTGGGATGTGCTGTCGTATGCCACCCACGCGTGCTGCCTCTCGCTCAGTGCTATTTTCTGCAAGAGAAGGATGGTGCGCACAGTGTACACATAAGGGGGGAACAGAGTGGTTTCTGAGGCCGACTGGGATGTGCCATCGTATGCCACCCATGCGTGCTGCCTCTCGCTCAGAGCTAAGGGCAGAGCAAACACGCACGGATGCTTCACTCCAAAAGATGCGCGTGAGATGCATATTCCACCCACCAACAAAAAACAGAACATTTAGGCCGCAACTTATAACACTAAACCGCAACCCACCGCACTGAACCGCACTTCACCGCACTGAAACGACCTGATCGCCCGTGAGGCCGGTCATGTGGTCGGCAGCAGCGCAGTTGTCGCCTGAAGCCACGCCGTTCACCACCACAGCCACACACGAGGTGGGCCCCGACCGCACCTCCACCGCCACACTCCCATTGAACCGCACTTCACCGCACTGAACTGCATATTACTGCACTGAACCGCAATTTACCGCACTAAACCGCAACCCACCGCACTGAACTGCGCTTCACCGCACTGAACCGACCTGATCGCCTGTGAGGCCGGTCATGTGGTCAGCAGCAGCGCAGTTGTCACCTGAAGCCACTCCGTTCACCACCACAGCCACACACGAGGTGGGCCCCGACCGCACCTCCACCGCCACACTCCCATTGAACGCCCCTGGCGCTGCTCCCCCGTACCCTATGGCTCTGAGAGTGGGGTGGGGAAGGTAGAGGAGGGGGGGACGGAGTGATGGAGGGGATAGTGAAGATTGTGAGGTACGGAAGGGATGGCAGTCGCGACTTTAACTAAATCAACGAAGGACGTGTTTTTTTTTTTTTTTTTTTTTTTGGAATGCTTGTGACTCCACTTCTCTGCAACTCACTCACCCCATGGCACTCGAGCCACAAGCAGTCTTATCCCCGCTGGTGACAACAAACGCCAACCCTCTGCTGCCCCAGTAGCCATACGACGTCTCCGTCCACACCGAGAACGCAAACGCCGCCCCATGTCAACCCGAATCCCCTCCCACGAGGCAGGCTAGACCCACCCTTTATCCACCTGACACTCAGTCAGTCGCATTCTATGTTGCTCCCCGCGAGATCCAGACATAGCTCACTGAGCTATGTCTGGATCTCGCAGGTTACACCCACCCGGTATCCACCTGACACTCAGTCAGTCGCATCCCATGTTGCTCCCCGACTCACCCCATCTTGCTCGACCCGCACGCAGTCTTGTCTCCGCTGCTAATGACAAACGTCAGGCCCCTGCTGCCCCGGTAGCCATACGACGTCTCCGTCCACACCGAGAACGCAAATGCCGCCTCAAACGCCACTGCTGCTGTTGCTGTATCTCCTGATGTTTTTCCTGCTGCTGTTGCTGCTGTTTTTCCTGTTCCTCCCCCTGCTGTTGCTGCTGACGTGGACGAATCCAGAGAGAGCGCCAGGTCAGCGAGGGTGAGCGCACTGCCAGCGGTGCCGCCGGTGTCGAGGACGAGGGGGAAGGAGGGGGCGGGCCCCACGTGGGCATAGCCGTTTAGGCGGAAGGCTGAGCGGCCCGCAAAGCCCGAACAGGTGAGACGCGTGTTGGAGGGGGCGAGGTGGCACGTGGTGGGCGCAGGGGAGGGCGGAAGTGACTGCTGGGACCCGGGAGTGACTGCGGAGAGGGCATATAGGAAGGAAGTAGAGGGGGAAGTTTATTCCACAGTCACCTTCCCACTGATTACCAGAACAGCGACACGAATAAGAGACTAATGTTGAGGCGCTTTGGTAAACAAATAATAGAGTTCGCACTGAGAACCAAACAGATGGTAAACAAACGCGAAGACATCATGGATGAGGAAGCCAGGCAGTCCCTCGTCATAATAATAATAATAATAATAATAATAATAATAATAATAATAATAATAATAATAATAATAATAGTAATAATAATAATAACAATAATAATAATAATAGCATAACAATAATAATGACAATGACAATAATAACAGCTTGGAAGGAGAGGGAGTGGATGAGGTGGTCTTCCAGGTCGTCCACCCACGTCCTCCCCTTCTCCCTTCCTCCCCCCCCCCATTATATGAATGATACATATCGTACCAGCTTCAAAAGACATGGAGTGGATGAGGTGGTCTTCCAGGTCGTCCACCCACGTCCACCACGACGCGCCTGTGAAGCCCACCGACAGCCCCGCCGTGCCTCCCAGAACCGCCGCCACATCGATGGGCGTAACCAACACAGGTGCGGTGGGCTTTGTGGGGGCGCCGGGGGAGACAAACACCTGCAGCACGCCGCTGCTGCCGTCGTAACTCACCCACATGTGCTGCGGCTCGTTCAGCGTGAACGCCTGGGGGAGTGGGGGAGGGTGAGGTAGTGGAGGAGTGGGGGATGTGGGGAAGTGGGGGATGTGGGGAAGTGGGGGATGTGGGGAAGAGGGGGATGTGGGGGATGTGGGGGTTGGTGTGAAACTAATCAGTTGTTTGATTAGTTTACTATTGGTGGGGAAGGAGAGAGTTTAGTTTTACATTTACTATTCTTATGATTTACATTTACTATGGCCTTACCCCAGAATGTGTCACCCGAGCAGCCTTCAAGTGAGCATGCACGGCCAACCAGGCGTTACCTGAACAGGCACTTACTGAGAGGGTCCCACCTGTTCAGGCGGCAGCAGCGCCATCGCATCGGAGTCGGCACAGTTGTCGCCGGCCACCTGCCCGCCCACCACCACCGCCACACACGCCGTCGGCCGAGCCCTCAGCTCCACCGCTATGCTCTTTGCAAAGGACGCGTTGGGGGCCGATCCATACCCGATGTTGCTGGTGGGTAAAGGGAGAGCAGCAAGGGGCAGGATTGAGGGTCCTGTTGATGGGCCGCACTCTCTACTCCAATGCCACGCTCCCAGCAAAGGGCGCGTTGGGGGCTGCTCCATAGCCAATGTTGCTGGTTGGAAGAGGGGGAAGGGGGGTGGGGGGGGGGGGGGAAGGGGGGGGTTGATGGGAAGAGGGGGCGGAAGAAGGGAATCAGAGGGAATAGGAACGTGGCAGCAGAGGGAAGAGTCGGGGCAATTGGAGAGACGTGCTGGGAGCTGTGACACGGATCAGTGCTACCACACCCAATCCCTCCCCACCGCTTCTCACCTGGCGGAGCTGCGGCCACAGGCGGTCTTCTCCCCGGCAGTGAGCACAAAGGCCAGCCCTCGACTGCCCCAGCTGTTGTAATCCGCACTCGCTGCAAACGAGAACGAAAACGCCGCCTCAAACGCCACCGGACCACTGCCGAGGCTGAGGCTGAGGCTCGGGATGGAGAAGGCACAGCCAGCAGCATTGGTGGTTGTGTCGAGCCAGATGGGGAAGTTCGGTCCGGGCCCGACCTGAGCATCCCCAGAGAGGACGAAGAAGGGCGAGTAGAGACCGGGAGAAGCAGAGGAGGAAGAGGAGAAGCCAACGCAGGAAATGCTGGTGGCAGTGACGTTGCAGGGGGGAGGGTCAGAAGCAGCTGTGGCAGTGGCAGCAGCAGTGCCGGAAGCAGCATCAAGAGAGGCGATGGAGAAGAGGCCGCCACCAGCAGCAGAGGGGTCTGTGGCTCCAAAGGAAGCTAGTGTTGCACTGCCGCTGTTGGCCGAAGCGAGGAACACGTTCGGTGCTCTCGAGCTTGTTGGTTCGGTCAAGCCTGCCAGGCTGGTGGTTTCAGCTGTGGCAGCAGCAGCATCAGAGGTAGGAACAACAGCAGTGGTGTGAAATTGAAAAGTGAAAGACCGAATTATAACTTGCATTGTTTTCTTTCTACTGGCCACTCCCTCTGCAATCCCAGCTGCAGCCATCTCAGCTTCATCCGTTGCTTCAGTCCCTCCCGTGAACCCCACAAACAGACAACCACCGCCGCCCACCGCCACCTCGCCCCCGCCGCCCGCGCAGCTGCCATCTGGTGCCAAGCCAAGCGCCCGAGCCAGGTCGACAGGCTCGGAGAGCACCGGAGCTGCAGGCTTGGTGGGGGAGGAGCCGCCGAGTAAGAGGCGGAGGGAGGCGAGGGAGGCGTCGTAGTCCACCCAGGCGTGCTGCTGCACCCCCGGGACCAGGAGCTGGGGAGGGGGGAAGAGAGTGGGGGTAGAAGAGGAACAGACAGTATGGGGTAAGGAATGGGTATAGTGGGAACAAGGGAGGAGTGGGAGGCGTCGTAGTCCACCCAGGCGTGCTGCTGCACCCCCGGGACTAGCAGCTGGGGGGGGCGGGGGGGGAAGGGGAAGAAAACGGACAGAAGCGGACGGAAGGGAATGAGGAGAGCATGGAAGGAGGCGTCGTGGTCCCCCCAGGCGTGCTACTGCACCCCGGGGACTAGGAGCTAAGGGGAAGAGGTAGTGGGGAAGGAGAGGGAAGGGGAATGGGGATGAAGGGGGCGGAGGGGCAGCGTGGGGGAAGGGATTGAGAGAGTAAAAGGATGGGGTGCGAGGGAGGGAGTCGCCATAGTCCACCCAGGCCCACAGAACCCTTAGACCTTAGGGTTCTGTGGGCACAACCCAGGCACATGGGTTGAGCCCATCCCTCCCTCCCTCCCTCCACGCCCAACTTACATGGGGTGTTAACCTCCCTCTGTTCCCCACACTCTCAGCTTACATGCGGTGCGTCATGGGACGAGGGGTTGAGAGCCGCCCATCTGCCAGCGCCGCCCGTCTTGCCGCCCAGCAGCACGCCGGCAGAGATGGGCGGGCGGCCGCTTAGTACCACTGCCAGGCTGGCATTGAAGGCGGCGCCGCCATAGCCGGCAAGGCTGGGGGAGGGGAGATAGGGAGGGCCGAAGGGGGGAGGGGGGAGGGAAAGGAAAGGGGGATTGAGAGAGGCGAGGGTTGGGCGGCCGTTCAGCACCACTGCCAGGCTGGCATTGAAGGCGGCCCGCCGTCGCCGGCAAGGTTGGGGGAGGGAGGTGGGGGATGGGGGACGAAAGGAAGGGGAGGAGGAACGGGAAGGGGGGGGGGGGGGGGGCGGGAGGAGGGGGTGAAGGGGAAGGGGTAGTCTCATAGGGGTTAACACACGAGTGAGCGAGGGGGAAGAAGCATTTGGGGAAGGTTGTACCTCACCTGTGCGAGATGACTGGGGGAGGTTGTGCCTCACCTAGGCGGGCCGACGGCGGTGTTGGGTCCGCCAGTGATGACGAGCGCAAGCCCCGTTGCCACGTCAGCCTCGTTCTGCCCCTCCAGCTGGAACGTGAAGCGCGCCGAAAACGAGAGCGCCGAGCCTCCACCGCTGAGCGGAGGCGAGAGCGCGGCGGAAGTGAATGCGGAACCCGCGGATCTCCCCTCACTGGCCTCCGCGCTACTTGGGCTACTACCGCCGTCCGACGCACTCAGGACGAGAGCGGCGCTTTCCCGGTCCGCGTCCGCAATATAAGCACGGCCGTTCAGAACGAAGGCGCCATCTTCGCCCCCGTCCGTCACGGCAAATCCCTCGGGGCATGACACGGATGACGGCGATAGGGTGCAACCAGGGGAGCTTATATCTGAGACCAAAACCGCGCCGGCCGTCGCGGCGGCGCCGAGCCGACGTGCTGTGGGTGAGAAATACACGACGAGTAGGAGGAGGGTTGCGAGGCTATCATAGTGGCTCCGATGGATTCGACCGTTACAGCGTTTCCTCCGAACAGTAGAATTCAGAGCGTTGCGGTAACGAGAGAAGAAAGGAAATTCCCCGCGGCACGAGGAGTTCCGCCTGTGTCCCATAGTAAGAGCAATCGTTATCTCCGCCGCAACTCACGGCTGCAGCGCAATGCGTGGCGTGACCTGCGGAGGTAGAATTATCCTCTCTGCATCGTGCTCTGAGGGCGTACATAAATCGAGAGCCATTAAAACTGCGGACGACATCAATCAGTAAACAGAAGGCATTTCCACGAAACCTGGATGCAGCAGGGCATTGCCGCATGTCCCTCATTGCCGAAAGCTTGCAATTTGGTTGTTGAATTGAAAGCCTAGGGTGGCTGGCTGCTCAACAATAATCCAGCCTGTCCAAGCCAGCGCTTCGGGCTGTCAGGCAGGGGAGGTGCCTTCGCGTGGCGGCAAATTTGGCGAAACTATGGACGTTCGCGCTTCAAGTAATGTTACTGGAATTCCTCGTCTATACGTCGCAGATTTTTGCGAGTCAGTTCGTTCAACACATTTTGCACATTCGGTAACACGGAATCTGGTGACTGACAGCTCACGCAGGTGGGTGAGTGGGTATGCCCAGTGCAAGTTTGCTGCAAACTTGTCTCAGTTTGCCGCAGACTTGTCGCAGCCGCGAAATTTACAGCGAGCATCACGAAAGTGGTGGAATAGAGACGAAAATGATTGGAATTTCCTGCGCTGCAACAGTGAAGGTTTGTTTGGTCGGAGCCTTGTAGCCGACCATTCGCTCGCTGCACAGGTAATCTTTATACAGCTCACGGTTCCACCTGTTGATTCGCGGTCCGTAACGGTTCGCAGTTTCCATTATTTTTAGAGTTATGAAGTCAATCGTAAACAATTAGCATAGCATCAGCTGCTTCAGAAAATCACTCTGTTTCCACAACAGACGTGATTCTAAGGAGCACACTGGACTTCGGTTGTTGGATACGCCGAGCCACGTGGCGTTCAAGGGCAGGCGGTGCTCCCTTCCTGTGCTTGTATGGGCCAAACCCAAAGCAGACTCGCGCGGCGCAAGAATGATCCTCTCGACTACAATCGCAGCCGTCGAGTGGGCGTCAAGCCAAACATCGACGTCACAAACACATCTGACATCTCAAGAAACCGCGAATTTCACCACCTCCTCTGACAATCACCAAGCAAGCTAGACTGTAGGACCAGATTCCAGAAGCAAAGATTTGCACTTTGTCTGAATTCACAATTTCACAGATTCACACCTTCAGACTCACAGCATTCCGCCATCATTCACAGATTCGTAGGCTCGAGTAAAACATTTTAGCAGGACAGCCATAACCAGCCAATACGTTGGCAAGCAGCGGCCTGTGAATCTGCGACATCATCCTTCGCCGATTTCCTCTCTTCTTGCAACGATCTTTCTTGCCAAGCGTCATGGCGTTTACCATTTCCACCCAGCCTACTACCCCTTACGAGGGACAAAAGCCTGGGACCTCGGGTCTGAGGAAGAAGGTAGCGCTCTTGCTTTGTTCACGCAAAACAAGCTGATAATCCCGACGAATTTTCATCTTATAAGCAAATTCTGGTTGCATTCGTCGTGTTACCAGGTCACGGTCTTCCAACAGCCGAATTACCTGGCGAATTTCGTCCAGGCAACCTTCAATTCGCTTCCCGCTGACAAGATTCAGGGTAAACATGCAATCTATATTCTCTTTCTGATGTCAGTCTCTTTTCCCAACCCTCAGACGTATGGATTGTCAGACTTAGGGACCAAATCTCCGTTTCTTCTTTGGATTACTTCAACCTTTAGAAAACATCAGATGTCCGCTTTTCTGATTCTGACATGATCCAATCTATTTCCTCTCCTGTTCAGGCTGCACTCTCGTGGTTTCCGGCGACGGTCGGTACTATTCGAAGGACGCGGTTCAGGTAACGCCGGACTCCGCTCTTACAGACCATCACATCCATTCGCGTACCTTTCGTGTCCTTCAAATTCCTGACCGGTCTGCTGGTATACTGTACTTCTTTGGATCTAGACGACTTGAATCCATGATGGCTTCATGTTATTACGACTCGAATTCAGAATGACTCGAATTCGTGACTACTTGAGTCCATGACGACGTGATTCTTTGTCGACGCCTTGAATGCATGACAGATCATCGCCAAGCTCGCAGCCGGTAATGGAGTTCGCCGGATCTGGGTGGGTCAGGACAGTCTCCTCTCCACGCCAGCTGTGTCTGGAATCATCCGCGATCGCGTCGGCATCCAGGTAAATATATGGCATTCTTATTCCACTATCAGATTGGAATTCTAGATCCCGGTCGAGAAACCTCTGCAAGCCTATATATTTTTTCGTGAGCTGGGAGTGATTGGTTATGCCTGACAGCACTACCTCCTGTCACCCGGCTGCCTGAAACAGGGGGACAAGGCGTACGGAGCGTTCATCCTCACAGCGAGCCACAACCCCGGTGGGCCGCATGAGGACTTTGGCATCAAGTACAACTGCGAGAACGGAGGGCCGGCTCCCGAAGGCCTGACCAACCAGATCTACCAGCACACCACTACCATCTCCGAGCTCAAGATCGCTGAAGGGCTGCCCGAGGTACGTTAGTTAGCCTCCCTCAATGACCCACCATGAAGTCTGGGGCTTTATGTACATGCATGCGAGCGTAGGCCCAGCTCGCGAAGGCCCAGCTCGCGAAGGCCCAGCTCGCGAAGGCCCAGCTCGCGTAGGCCCAGCTCGCGAAGGCCCAGCTCGCGAAGGCCCAGCTCGCGAAGGCCCAGCTCGCGAAGGCCCAGCTCGCGTAGGCCCAGCTCGCGTAGGCCCAGCTCGCGTAGGCCCAGCTCGCCTAGGCCAGACCAACCAGATCTACCAGCACGCCACAACCGTCTCCGAGCTCAAGATCGCTGAAGGGCTACCCGAGGTACGTTATTGAGGTTCCATTAGACATCCCCCATGAAGTCTTGGGACTAAAGTACAGGTGTGGGAGCGTAGGCTCGCCTCCTGAAGGCCCGACCAACCAGATCTACCAGCACACCACGACCGTCTCCGAGCTCAAAATCGCTGAAGGCCTTCCCGAGGTACGTTCGTGAGTCCCCCTCAATGACACCCCATGAAGACTGCAACGGCTTTGTCTGACTGAAATAGAAGCATTGTGAACACAAGGCATGCTGAATTCCTCCTGGTGCTCCCTCCTTATGCATTCCTGGCTTCCCGCGGCAGGTGGACATCAGCACCATCGGGGAGTCTGAATGGCCTGCAGTCCTTTGATGGTCTGAATGGCAAGTTCGAGGTGGAGGTGTTCGACTCCACTGTGCTTTGTACCTTATGCGCTTCCTGCATTCTTCTCTTGCCTCTCTCGTGGCCATTGCAGGTGGACATCAGCACCATTGGCCTGCAGTCCTTTGATGGTCCAAATGGCAAGTTCGAGGTGGAGGTGTTCGATTCTGCTGAGGACTACATCAAGCTCATGAAGTCAGTCGCTACTACCATATAATAAGTTTTGTTTTTCTTTTTCTTTCCTTCCTTCCTCTTCAATAATGAACCAAAGAAACTTGCTGAAGACAACATGAGAATGATGACATCAGTCCTCTGTTCTCGTTTCCCCCTTCTGTCGTCCCCTTCGTCGTTAGCTTGCATCCCTTCAATCAATCCTGGGATTTGTTTTTTTCCATTGGTGCAGAACTTTGTTCGTTCCATTCACAACGCAGTGCTTTCCTTCCCTCCTAACGTGATGACATTCGCCTCACACTGCCGTTGCTACTGCTGCTGCCGCAGGACCATCTTCGACTTTGATGCCATCCGGGGGCTCCTCAAGAACCCCAAGTTCGCATTCTTGTACGTCTCTACGCCCTGGCAAGCCATGTTTTTGTCTTGTATTGTCTTTGCCTTCTAAAGCAGAAATTGTTTAGGGACGTTTGTAAGCATCAAAAGAAGACGAGCAAAAGGATCTTGAATTGAACTGATGGCACTTGCATGCTTTCATGTTACTTCATGGGACGAAACGGTGACATCATTCTATTCCCCTGATACCCGAACTCGTATTGTTCACTGTTTCCCTGCTTCTCGCAGGTTGGACGGGCTGCACGGCGTGGCGGGAGCATACGCGGAGAAGCTGTTTGTGCGTGAGCTGGGAGTGCCAGCCTCGTCCCTCGTCAACTGCGTGCCAAAGGTACGTCCTGCTTCTTGCTGTATGATCCCACATTTTGCTCCGCACTCCTGCATTCTGCTTGAAACTCTCACCCGCAGTTCCACAATCCCACCCGCTGCCTGACAATCGCACTCCCGTCCTCCCTCCTTAGTAGAAAGATTCTTTTTAGTAGCCACCCCTGTCATGACTTTAGTGGCGGCCACCCCGACCCCAACCTGGCATATGCACATGACCTGGTGGAGGCAACGGGGCTGGGCATGCACATATGCCCTCACACTCCCATATCATAACTCTATCTCTATTTCCCGTCTCGCATCTTCCCTATGTCAGGAGGACTTCGGTGGTGGGCACCCCGACCCCGACCTGACGTACGCGCATGACCTGGTGGAGGCCATGGGGCTGGGCAAGCACCAATATCACCCCACCTCCCCCTCCCGTTCTCCTCTCCCCACCGCTGCATCCCTTCTTTCAGGAGGACTTCGGAGGCGGCCATCCCGACCCCAACCTGACCTACGCGCATGACCTGGTGGAGGCCATGGGGCTGGGCAAGCACCAGCCCGCTCAGGAGCCGCCTGAATTCGGCGCTGCCTGTGACGGCGATGCTGATCGCAACATGGTTCTGGGCAAAAGGTATGTAACGGTGTGGTGCTTGGGGTCCTCCTCGGTGGCCATCATAGCAGCCAACGCAGTGGCCTGGCCAGAGTCAAAGCTGGTGCATTGCCTGGGAGACGTCTTGGTTCCGTGCATCCATTCCCCTTGATGCTTACCAGCCTCAACATGTTCTTTGTGGCGCCCTCTGACTCGGTTGCTATGCTATCATACCAGCCAATGCCCTGGCCAACATCCCCTGATTCAATAGCGGGCGGATAAGTTAAAAACTGGTGCATTGCCTTGAACTCATCTCAATACCGTCATTGCTGCTTTCGTCTGCCCTGTCCTGCCAGGTTCTTCGTGACGCCGTCTGACTCGGTGGCTATCATAGCAGCCAACGCGGAGGCCAGCATCCCCTACTTCAAGGGCGGGCTCAAGGGCGTGGCCAGGAGCATGCCCACGTCTGCGGCTCTCGATGTTGTCGCCAAGGAACTCGGTCTCAAGTTCTTTGAGGTAGGGATCCCTTTGCACTCCTCTCCACCGCTCTGTAAGTAGCCAGGAGGCCAGCATCCCCTACTTCAAGGGCGGGCTCAAGGGCGTGGCCAGGAGCATGCCCACGTCCACTGCTCTGGATGTTGTCGCCAAGGAGCTCGGTCTCAAGTTCTTTGAGGTAGGTTATTTCTTGCACTCCACGCCTCTGCACTCCTCTCCATCCCTCTGTAAGTCTCCTCGTGTACTTCAAGGGCGGGCTCAAGGGCGTGGCCAGGAGCATGCCCACGTCCGCTGCTCTGGATGTCGTGGCCAAGGAGCTTGGTCTCAAGTTCTTTGAGGTAGGTAGATGCTCTTTGCTGGACTCCTCTCCGTTGCTTTGGAAGTATCCTCGTGTACTTCAAGGGCGTGGCCAGGAGCACGCCCAAGGAGCTGGGATTCAAGTTTTGGGAGAGCCATCTTGTGTACTTGCCCTGTTTGCTTCTGTGATTTCAGGTGCCGACCGGGTGGAAGTTCTTTGGCAACCTCATGGATGCGGGCATGTGCTCTGTGTGCGGTGAAGAGAGCTTTGGCACAGGTGAGGTTTGGTCATGTGATTCGGAAGAGAGCTTCACCAGGAAGATTCGGCATGCCTGATCTGGCAGAACGAGGGATTTCATTTACCCTGTCATGACTTATCCTCATGTGCCACTCGTGAGCCAGGAATGCTGATTGGGGATGTGAACGTCGTAATTCCTGGGAGTGCAATCCTCGATCTATGACTCCCCTTTTCGCCTGATGTTATACCTCCAGGATCCGACCATATCATATAGAAGGACGGCATGTGGGCGATTCTAGTGTGCCTCTCTATCCTGGCGAATCGGAACCAAGGCAGCAGGGAAGGGCAGCTGGTGCTGATTATTCTCCCCCTTCCCCCTCACTTTGAACCTCCTGTAACCCCCACTGTGCTGTGCATTGGTTTGCTGTGCGTTGCTCTGTGCTCACCCAGGGTCGGACCACATCAGGGAGAAGGACGGCATGTGGGCTATTCTGGCCTGGCTCTCCATCCTGGCCAACAGGAACAGTGGCAGCAGTGAGGGGCAGCTTGTGACGGTGGAGGAGATTGTGAGACAGCACTGGGCCAAGTATGGCCGGCACTTCTACACCCGATACGACTATGAGGTATAGACTCTGCTCCTTGACCTTCGACCGCATGCGATGTTGCAAAACCGAAACCCTTGACCTGTGAATCGCTGCCTGAAGAGGGCAGTCCGTGACCGTGGAAGAGAGTGTAAGGCAGCGCTGTGATTGAAGTAGTGCTTTGAGACGTCTCAAATCACTACCTCAATCACCCGATACCCTTGACCTGTGGATTGGTGCCTGAAGAGGGCAGTCCATGACCGTGGAAGAGACTGTAAGGCAGCACTGGGCCTGGTGAAACCCATATCTGTTGTCCACATCAGGCAGAAGGACGGCATGTAAGATAGGAGGAGTCTTCCCAGCGGAGCACAATGATAACTCCCCAGCGAAGCACAATGATAACTCCCCAACGAAGCCACCCACATGTCTGTTCTCGCCTGCCTGGCTGATAGGTGCACCTACCCCGTGTCTATTTCCCTTCATCCTTGTCTGTCAACCCCATCTCACTCACACTCTTAGTATGCAAACTCCCGTTATGATCACTTATCACCGCGCCATGTTATCCCCCAATGCCATGTCGTGATGGCAGGGAGTGGATGCAGAGGGTGCAAAGACTTTTGAGGCGCCTCAGATTTCGCTCCTGTTATCTCACTCGTTTGTGTCATCATGGCAGGGAGTGGATGCAGAGGGTGCAAAGACGCTCATGGCTAATCTGGTCGCCAGCCAAGCAGACATCGCTGCACTCAACACGTGCGTTTCTAGCTCTTGAGCCAATATCATCTTAACCCCATGATTAACGAAGCTCTGCCATCAAAGACACGCATGATATCTAGCACGTGCGTTCGTACATTATCGTGTTCTGGCGTTTTTTGGCAGCAAACGAGTGTCCTCTGGTTCTGTTTCTCGTGCATATCTCACTCAATTCCGCTGTTTCCTGCTGCATTACTCCGCTCATTTTCACCCCTCCTTGTTGAAAGGGCTGTGAAGGCAGCCAAAAGCACAGCAGCTGACGTGGTGAGGAGAGACGAGTTCGAGTACAAGGACCCTGTGGATGGCTCTGATTTGCTTGTGCGCTCGTCTCACCACTCCATTCTTTCTGCCCCCCCCCGGTTTTCAACCTTGTTGACAGGGCTGTGAAGGCAGCCAACAGCGCAGCAGCGGGCGTGGTGAGGGGCGGCGAGTTTGAGTACAATGGCCCTGTGGATGGCTCTGTCTTGCTTGCTTGCCCGTCTCACTACTCTCTTCCACCTCATTTCGAACCCCGCTACTCCAGGGCTGGGAAGGCAGCGAACAGCGCAGCAGCGCACGTGGTGAGGGGGGACGAGTTTTGAGTACAAGGACCCCGTGGATGGCTCCGTGTCGCTAGCCTGTCTCACTCTTCCACTGTCGCTGCCACTCCGCCACTCACATGGACCCCGACCCTCTTTTTCAACAGGGCTGTGAAGGCAGCCAACAGCGCAGCAGCGGACGTGGTGAGGGGGGACGAGTTTTGAGTACAAGTACCCCGTGGATGGCTTTCTCTCTCTTGCTTGCCCGCCTCATTGCTCTGTGCCACCTCATTTTGAACCCCGCTACTCCAGGGCTGTGAAGGCAGCCAACAGCGCAGCAGCGGACGTGGTGAGGGGCGACGAGTTTGAGTACAAGGACCCCGTGGATAGCTCCGTGTCTTTTGAGGCGCCTCAGAAGTCCGTGGGTGGCTCTCTGTCTTGCTTGCTTGCCCGGCTCACTACTCTCTTCCACCTCATTTCGAACCCCGCTACTCCAGGGCTGTGAAGGCAGCCAACAGTGCAGCAGCGGACGTGGTGAGGGGGGACGAGTTCGAATACAAGGACCCCGTGGATGGCTCTGTGTCGCTAGCCTGTCTCACTCTTCCACTGTCGCTGCCGCTCCTCCACTCACATGGACCCCGACCCTCTTTTTCAACAGGGCTGTGAAGGCAGCCAACAGTGCAGCAGCGGACGTGGTGAGGGGGGACGAGTTCGAATACAAGGACCCCGTGGATGGCTCTGTGTCGCTAGCCTGTCTCACTCTTCCACTGTCGCTGCCACTCCTCCACTCACATGGACCCCGACCCCTTTTTTCAACAGGGCTGTGAAGGCAGCTAACAGCGCAGCAGCGGACGTGGTGAGGGGGGACGAGTTTGAGTATAAGGACCCTGTGGATGGTTCCGTGTCAAGCCACCAGGGGATCCGGTTCTTCTTCGCTGATGGCTCCAGACTGGTAACGCCTCGTTCCTTCGTTTAATCCACATGAGTGTGCTCAAAAGCTACGTGTTTATTTACATGCTTTCTATATATTTTTTTTCTTTCTTTTCCTTGATCCATACCCCCTCCCCTCCCCCCCCCACTCCCTTCAGATCTTCCTCATGTCGGGTATGGGACCAGTGGGAGTAACCATTAGCTCCGAGGCTGGTGATTGGATCCAGATTTGTCTTTCTGTGTTGTCTTGTTTCCCAACCATGAATACTTGCCTCCTCTGCCCCGCAGATCTTCCGCCTGTCGGGCACGGGGTCAGTGGGGGCGACCATCCGTGTGTACATTGAGCAATACGTGGCCGATAGCTCCAAGATTGATGGCAACCCGGCTGATGTGCTTGCTCCCCTGGTGAGTTCATTCGTTTGTTTGTTTTGTTTGCTTGTTCCAAGTCGGGTGATATGGCTGAGTTCTATATGGGTGACTTGGCTGATGTGTGTGCATTTATGTGAACAGTTTGAAACCTCGCCTTGCTGTTTTCTAGCATTCATCCATGCGTTTGTTTCTTCATTCACCCTGGTAACTTCTGCGGTATGTAATCCATCCTATCTTCTATCCACCCTGATTCTATTCTCCCTACTCCACATCAGGTTGATGTGGCTATCAAGGTGTCCAAGATTGAGGAATATACTGGCCGTACTGCACCTACCGTTATCACCTAAAACCACACTGGACCAGTCCATTTACTGGAGGTGGTTTGAAAGTGCACCATTCAAGGTTAATCTCATGGCACACTACAATCATGAGTAGTACACTACATAAAGGATGCTGAATGCATCCATTCACTCTTAGTATACTAGCTTCAAAAGGAGTACTGGCTGAGCGAGTCACTTCATAGCCATAGTGTTTGGGTGTTGCCTCTTTGTGCAAAAGAATATTTTTCCTGGAAGCCAATGTAGGATGCCATTCAGACAATTTGTCTTGTTTGATGTTTGTTTGGTCTGCAGCACCGAACAGTGTCGGGCATCGCATGCGCCCTTAGCGCGCTCAGATTCACATTCTGGGGTGGACAGGACAGGCTGCCTCAGGTTAGGCGGGATGGAGAATGAAGGGCTGAACATTTTACCACCGTACTGTACCGCCGCTTTTCGTTTCCGTCACTTACAAAACCGACTCTAATCGTGTCCTGAAGCCAATAAAACCTCATCTCTTCACCTGCGTCCCGAATACAACGCCTGCTTCCACACCGTACCATCTCGACAACGGTCGACTTACGCGTCGCGCAATAGCGCAGCCTGACACAGAAGAGTAGCACAGCGATACGAGTGGTAACGGTAATAAGATCAAGCAGCTTGCAATGCAGCGTTGTTGCCGTTCACCCTGACGCGTGGTCCTTGCTTTGACGCTCAACTGATCCATCCAGCCGTTGATTCGCGTAACATTCACCCAATCCTTGGCTCTGATTCGGCAATACCTTTGTGCTGGTTCACCAGAATATTTTCTCAACCCCACTGTGGGCGATCTTACAGGATCAGAGTTATCTCGTTTGTATCTGTCCATGGATGTGCGGCCGGAAAATCCGGCAGAAGGAGCGGCGAATTCGGGACCTACTAGCCGGCTGAGCACGTACTTATCGCCGTACTACGTAGTTAATCTCCTCACCGTGCTCTCCGTTCTGCCGGTGCGGATCGCTGTGGTCTCCGGAGGCTCGTTCTCAAGAGACCTTGCGGTGCTCTACAAATGGGTAAATCCGGAATCTCTTACTTGTGATCTGTTGGTATTATGCAGAAGAGTAAGTTCGGGTATTTAAATAAATGTGTTCGGCGACTCAATGGGTGCTGTCAGCCTCGTTTTCCATCTCTATCCGCCTCTTTCCACCGCTTTCCCCCACTTTCCACCTCTAACCTCTCACTTTTGTCTCCCTTCCGTAACTTCCCCCCCATGGTCCATGGCAGGAGCGGCATGTTCTCTTCGGCCTTCTCCTGAGCGCGTCGTACAAGGTGTGTTGTCACTTGTAACGCCTATAAGCAGCAGCACTGCGTCTCTGATGCTTTATATGTTGATTTGTCTCCTCGGCCTTTATAGTGCATCATAGAGGGTGCATTGTCAGCAGCGGCAACAAAGGGTTCCTCAAGCAAGGCATATCAGCAGCAGCAGTACCTTTTCTAGGCCTAAGAATGCACTTGTGGCGTGCTTTACTCTGTGTGACATGGCATGGCTTTTCATGGCATCGCATGGCATGGCTTGGCTTGGCATGGCATGGCATGTTATGGCATGGCATGGGATGGCATGAGTTGCCATGTGGTGTGAACGCAGTTATGGCGAGCCAACACAGCCGAGGCAGCATTTTCATCCATCATGTTCAACACCAAGGCACGTTATTCCCTCCTCTCCCTCCTCTCCTTCTCTTCCTTCCCCGCTGCTCAGTGCAACTGCAAGTGCGCCCTTCGTTGCCCTCCTTAAATCAAGTTGTCGCTCCCCCTTTCCCCCCAACCAACCCCCCACCCCCTCTCCCCGCACCCCCCCCCCCCCCCCTCCTCCCCCCGCCCCCCCCCCCCCCTTTTTAGTGTTCTTGTTTTTGTTTGTTTGTTTTTTTGTTTTGCTATTTTTCTCTAAAGTTTGGAAACATTTGCTTCCCTGCCATTGCCTGCTGCTATTGCTGCAGATGATTCTCGTCGCTCTCCTGTGGGCTGTGGATCCCCGCATATGTGCCTGGTACCTCCTTGCGTTCATGCGTGAGTGTTCTGAGACGTTTCTTGCTGCAAACGATTCTCGTTGTTCTTTTGTGCCTGGTACCTCCTTGCGTCCATGCGGGAGTATCAGCTACCGTCGCTCCTTGTCTCCTGTGGGCTGTGGATCCCCGCATATGTGTCTGGTACCTCCTTGCGTTCATGCGTGAGTGTGTGTGCAAATAAAGAACGACTTCAGAGTGGACTCAATAATCGATCACCTTGGGAGCATGATAATTTGTTGGCCTCTTGTCTTTTCGTGTGTGAGTGAGTGTAAGGATTGTACCTCTGTCTCTCTCCTCTCGCTTCCACTGTGGGGTATGCTCCTGGCTTTATATTCTCGCCACTCTCACTTTCCCACCTTCCTTTCTCACTTTCCTTCGTTTCTCTGCCACCTCCCCCTCACTCACTTGCTCACTTTCAGCACTCTTATTCTCACCTTTCCTCCACATCTCCTCCGCCTGCCCCCCTTTTGCAATCACCTGTGAGTGCAGTGATTTTTCTTCTTTGCCCCCAACGCTCACCAGCAACCCCATCAGGTTAGTTGACACACACGCACTGCATGCACACACACACACACAGACACACACACACACACACACACACGCACACACGCACACATGCGCACACGCACGCAGAGGCACGCACACGCACGCGCATGCACACACACACACTCACACTCACACTCACTCGCGCACACTCACGCACTCACGCACACACGCACATATGCGCGCGCGCGCACACACACACACGCACACACAGGCACTCTAACCTTCCCTCCCCCCTCCACCCACTCTCTCCTGCCTCACACACGCACACACACGGCCACGCAGTCACACACACGCGGACACACACACTTTCTCATTCACTCGCCCAATCCCCTCCGCCCTCCTCTTTCTGTTTGCCACGTCAGCATCCGACGCCTTTCTTGAGATGATCCCGCGCCAGCTGGAGCTAGTGGCGCCTGTGGAAACTGCCACGCCAGCATCCAACGTGCCATGCCTGGTCATGTTCTATGCAAGCTGGTCACCCCCGTGCCATCAGCACATGTCTCTCTTTGTTGACATTGCCAACCAGTAAGCCTCCTTGCCCCATCAACTTCTCCCAACCACGCCCACGAGTAAGTATCCCTTGCATTCCCTTGAGTCGGATAGACCACTAGTCTCCACCTGTTTCCTTCTTTGTCACCACTGACCGCCCTACACCAGTTTCCAATCTTCGGCACAGCAGCCAATTATCTTGCTGCAGCCCACTCTTCTCAATATTGTGTTCTTCGTTGCCAACTATCGCTGCAAGCTTACCAACGTTCTTCAAAGCCTTTCAGGCACTGAGTATGCTGTATACTGTGTCTTCCTTTGCCTTTCCTTCCCTATTTCTCCAAGGTACGGCCAAGGCCCCCAGATTCACTTTGGCCGGTTGGATGTCTCTCGATTCCCGGACGTGGCCGAGAGATTTTCTATTGATACTACCAGTGAGTGCTTCTCTTGTGTACCCCTCTGACAGGTCTGTAAGATTCTCTTTTTGAGTCGAATAAAAAATAGGCTCTTTTTTTTAGTCGACTCAAAAATAGGCTCTATTGATACTACCAGTGAGTGCTTCTCTTGATTACCCCTCTGACAGGTCTGTAAGATTCTCCATTGATTCTCCTTTCGCACACTTCCCCATCGATACTGGCAGCATGTATCTTCTGTTGTACATATCATTTCGCATGGAGTCCCCACCCCAACATCGATGATCCGTATACTGCTGGAAAATTTGTGTACCACCTTAAAACTCACATCGAGTCCCCATGATGGTTGATTTGTGGAATTTCTTTTGGGCCTTGATTTGAATTGATATTGTTGGGCAACTCGCTTGCCTTTCTATGATTTTTGAGGCACCTCAAAAATCGTCTCGAATGTTTGAGGCGCCTAAAAAAACATCTCATGACTTGCGGTTGTTTTTGGGGCATTGATTTGGATGATCTTGTTGGGGCAACTCGCTTGTCTTTCATGGGCCTTTAACACCACTGACGCACTTACAATCTCAGAGCAGTGGTTTCATGGTATCCTGGAAACAACCCGCGAGCATTGAGGTGTATTTTGAGGCGCCTCAAAATACACTTCATGGTATCCTGGAAACCCAGGTTCTTCCTCTCTCCCTTCCTCCCTCCCGCCTTCCCTCCCTCCCTCCCTCCCTCCCTCCCTCCCTCCCTCCCTCCCTCCCTCCCTCCCTCCCTCCCTCCCTCCCTCCCTCCCTCCCTCCCTCCCTCCCAGTGTTCTCCTCTCATCTTCCAACCCTCATCCGCTTCCACAACGGCACCGAAGTCAACCGCCTGCCACCGCTCACCACCGCCTCCAGCACCAGCAGCAACAGGTTCATACCCCGAGCCACGCCTTTCCTTTCCACGTCTTCTCTGGCACCTGGGCTCTACACACCCCCCAGGCTGACGAGAAGCATGATAGTGGGTGCGTTTCAGCTGGACCTTTGGAGAATGAAGGGTGCTCTGGCAACGTGCGTGGCAGAGAAGCAGCAGCAAAAGGGGCGGAAGGAGGGTCAGGGACAGGGGCAGGGGGAGAGGCAGCAGGAGCAGGAGGAGAAGAAAGAGCGGTAGTCAAATCGTTGGATGGTCGGAGTGAGTAGCGGGGCAGCAGGGGGCGGCTCTACACTCCTCCCCGGCTCATGCACGAGAAGCATGATAGTGGGTGCGTTTCAGCTGGACCTGTGGCGGATGAAGGGTGCTTTAGGGACGTGCAAGGCAGAGAAGCAGCAGAAGGGGAGGAAGGAGGGCCAGGCACAGGGTCAGCAGCAGGGGGAGAAGGAGCAGGAGCAGGAGAAGCAAGAGAGGTAGTCGTAGGTTTGAGTGGCCAGAGTAATGAGTGAGCAGAGCTATAGGCAGCGGAGTAGCAGAGGGGGAGGGAGGCTCGGGCGCAGCAGCAGGCGCAGAAGCAGCGGGCAGAATTAGGAGCAGGAATAGCAGGAGCCAGAGCAGGAGGGAAAGAGAGACAGGCAGGCTTCGAAATGAAGGAGCCATCATCAAGTATAGTGTCTGCTTTGCTTGAAAAGGAGGGAAAAGAGGAAAAAGGGCTGCTGTGCGTGTATAATCTGTGTTGAGCTTCTGTTACCATCTTCAGCATTTCATTTCTTACCGTATCATCCTTTCCGCTGCCCTAAGATAGTTTGGCTCATTCGAGTTACTGTTGTTATCAAATTAAATGCATGATGTTCAGGCAAACCATTGTCGGCCTGCTCCAGAGATGTCAAAGAATCGTTCTGCGGCCTCGGGCGCGCAGCACAACAATGCGAACGCAGCACACCGCGAAAACCACAACAACCCGAGTTGCGATTTCGGTTGGGCTTCTCCTAAAGCCAGTAACCAAAACCAGGGACGTTGAATCCGAAACGCGTTTGAAAACCCTCCTAGTTCCGCCGCGGCGACAAACTGGAACTCAAACCCTCCTAAATCTATAGCGGCTGCGGCAATGGCGGACCCGCCGCCGCCTACCGCTCGACGCCTGGACCTAGACCTCCTAGCTGCCGCGCCACGCGGTGACTTTTGAGCCGACTCAAAAGTCACCTCGTTACAATGGCGGACCCGCCGCCGCCCACCGCGCGACGGCTGGACCTAGACCTCCTAGCTGCTGCGCCACGTGGACCTCCACACGCGGACGGGTCTGCAGCGCAAGTGGCGGCGCAAGATGCGGAGATGGGGGAAGCTATGATGGTGGTATCAGCTGCGCCCGCTGCTCCCGCGGATGGGGTGTCCGCGGCGGTGCGGAACGCGGAGATCCGGCGGGGAATCGCGGCGATCAAGGCGGAGAGTCAGCGCCAGCGGACAGCTGTCGTTCAAGTGCGTGTAGACTGTAGCTGTCCATGTTCTGTAGCTCTAATCACAGTCTTGTCGGTGTTGCTGCTGCTGCTGCTGCTGCTGCTGCTGCTGCTGCTGCTGCTGGTGCTGCTGCTGCTGGTGCTGCTGCTGCTGCTAGTGCTGCTGCTGCTAGTGCTGCTGCTGCTGCTGCTGCTGCTGGGAAGGCGTATCCACAACCTCTTGCACTTACGACTTTGTTTCTGCCAATCTACCCAAGCCATTCGTCTCTTTCCTTTTCCCAGGATGTTCTAGCAGAGAATCGGAAAAAACTGCTGGCTATCAAAGCGAAACACATGGCTGCTGCTAGTGCTGCTGCTGGGGGTGTTCCCTGGCCACGTCAACACGATCATTGTCAGCAGCAGGTAAACGGAGAAGCTGCCTCGAGTTCAGCTAGACGCGCAGGCTCGGGAGCAGGTTCGGGGATGGCAGGTTCGGGTCTGGCGGTCCTGGGAGTTGCTGGTTCGGGCATGGCAGGTCCGGGAGCGGGAGGCTGGGGTGCAATCTCAATAGTACTGAAAGCGAATGGAATGACAGGGGAACGAGCAGGGGGAGAAAGAGCATGGGGCGCGGTAGCAGCAGGAGCAGGAGCAGGGGCAGGGGCAGGAGCAGGGGGGAATGCAGGGGGGAGTGGAGTGGGGAGTGGAGGGGGGATCACGGGAGGGGTTGCAGGAGGGAAGGGTGGTGGTGGTGGTGAGATGGTGGCAGCTCCTCGCACCAATCCCATCAAGATGGCAGCAGTGCAGAACGTGCCTAGCTTCACCACCTGGATCTTCCTTGCCAAGTGAGTCTCGGGAGAAAGGAGGTGTTGTGGTGGGCTGGTTACGGTTCAGATGGGTACTGCTGAGATGGTGGCAGCCCCTCGCAACAATCCCATCAAGATGGCAGCCGTGCAGAACGTTCCTAGCTTCACCGCCTGGATCTTCCTTGCCAAGTGAGTTGAGTCTAGAGTGAGAGGGCTGCTGCTGATTGGCCTGGTTGGTCATGATCCTATTTTGGCAGCCGTGCAGAACGTCCTGTCACCGAATATGCATGATTATGCATATAAGGTGCCAGAGTATGCGGTGTAGTTATGGTGTAGCAATGTTGAGTGTGCACATTCGAGGGTAGGAAGTTGGGGACCAGGGAAACTGACGCGAGGTGGGTAGGAGAGCACCGAGGGGTGGAATCCAAGGAACCAATGTGAACAAACCAACCCAGGCTCGAGCCGCACCTTGAGAAATGCACGGTTCGAGCCTGGGCCAGGTAAATTCACTCTCTCACACACACCCGATGCTTTTCTCTTGTTATTCTCTCATATTAGTGGAAAGTTTTTACCTCGGATCTAGCATCCGGTGGCACGCCACTATGGGAGGACCTACGGGGTGAGGGAGGAAACTCTTTCAGCCACCTGGATCTTCCTTTCGTTCCTAGCTTCACCACCTGGATCTTCCTTGCCAAGTGAGTTGAGTCTAGAGTGAGAGGGCTGCTGCTGATTGGCCTGGTTGGTCATGATCCTATTTTGGCAGCCGTGCAGAACGTCCCTAGCTTCACCACCTGGATCTTCCTTGCCAAGTGAGTTCTGAGAGAATGGAGGTGACAGTGTGGGCTGGTGGGGGCTGAGCTGATATGGCTGTTGCTGATTGACACAATCCTATCATATCATGTTGCTGGTGCAGAACGTTCTGAGCTCCACCAGACACTAGGTCCCAAGCGCGGACCACACTACACTACAGGAACGAGCAGATTCCAGGCGAGCGAGCAATCACTGATGGGAGGATGCTGTGCTACGATGCGGAGAAGGAGGAGACGCCTGCCTGTGTGCAGCGCAGCAAACCTCTCCTTCCCATGTGGCCACCCCTGCACCCGCACACAGGAACGAGCAGATCCCGGATGATGTCACTGAATATCATGGTAAGAGCATTATATTCTGTAACTGTGCTAACTGGGGTGTAGAAGCAGTGTAGTAATTGTCATTTCAGTTTGTACACTAGGTAGTTGGGACATTGGGAGAAGGCCGAAGTTGGTAGTATGGGGGATTGCAAGGCGCTGCGGACACAATTCCAGGGCCCTCGAGAGACAGGAAATCTGGCACGAGGCCAATACAAGGCCAAGGCGGCTCGAGCCCAACCCATCACGCTGAGAATCTCGCGACTGGGTGGCCTAGCATAAGTAAGCCTAGCCTAGCATAGTACTCTTGTTCTCTCGTTTGTTTACCAGTGCATAGTGGACTTATGTTACCGTTCTAAGCTACAGCAGCCAGGTGACAGACGCCACTCTTGGTAGCCAGCTGTGGGAGCCGAATCTCTCACAAACGAGAGAAGTGCAGGCGACATGGATCGCCATGAGCTGCGCGAGCAGCGGACGTACTCACGGCGGGCGGGAGCGCTCACCGTCGCGGAGGAGGCGCGCATCGGAGCGCGGGAGGTCGCCAACGCGCTCGCCCCGCAGAGCAGCGTACCGCGCGGACTTGGTGACACCTACGGGCAGGCACCGTGATGATGACGGATCGGATCCGCGCGTCAGATCTGAGCCGTGGAGAAGGCCAGCGAGGAGCGATCCGTGGAATCTGCCAGAGGGACAGCACGGAGGACATGCGCGCCAATACGATGGCGACGTCGACATGCAGTCGCTGGATTCGGCGAGTGAAGCGGACGAAGAAGAATACCATGAGGAAGCGTCAGAGGCAGAACGCGAGCTGCGTCGTGGCGCGGAAGAAAATGAAGACGCGACAGGTGCGCAAGGCGGCATGCAGCACGGCGAAATTGGCGAAGATGGAGAATCCCCGACTGCGCGGGGCGGCGAAAATCCCAAGAGCCAAGACGGAGAAGATTCCCCCACTGCGCGGGGAGGAGGAAGGCAGGGAGATGCAGAGAAGGATGATGAGGAACCAAGCCGACGCGGCGGAACGCGGAAGTACGAGGCAGAAGGCAAGGCCGAGGAGCACTCACCAGTGAGGCGGCGTGAAAATGACGCGCCGCGAGGAAGCGCCAAGGGTGCGGAACGCCGGTCGAAGGCAAATCGGGAGGGCGAAGAAGGACGTAACGCGCATGCGGGTGTCTTCCGGTCGCCTGAACCAGGACTGAGGTATGAGCGCCGACGACGTATGGCGGCGGGTGAAGGGCAAGGGGCGGAGCGCGAGGATCGTGAAGAGGAGGAAGACTACGAGGATCGGCGCCAGAGAAGCCCGCGCGGAAGGGAGCGAAGGCAGGATGCGGAAAGGCGTGACAAGGAAAGAAGCCAGCGGTCGCCGAATGGTTCAAGAACAGAAGAAAGAGGATGGCGGCGAGGAGAGCCTGAGCGGCGGCACCAGGAGCGCGCGCCTGCGTGGAAATCAGAACGGCGAGATAGTGCGGAAAGGCGCAAAAAAAATCACGGAGATGAGAGGAGGAGGAGCCCAAGTCCGACAGGGCCAAGGAGGCCACGGCCATACGGAGAAGGATCTGGAGGAGCGAGAGCAGCCCGCGAGGGGCTGGAGCGAGTGCTGTACGGGACCAGTACGGGAAGCAGAGAAGAAAAGGGGAGGCAGAGGGGAGCTGTGCAGTCAGCTCGGGGAGAATGAGGAAGCTGGGACACAGGCAGATGGGCCGCGACGGCGCAGCCAAGAGTGGAGGTACTTTCAAGAGTGGCTTCTATCTGCCCTTCAATGTTCGGGCCGCTGCTGCAATTTGCCCCGCGACGAACACGAACGTGTTCGAGGTTCGCCCGAACACGCCTTCACAGGCGAACGGCGAACACGTGTTTTTGCTTAAAGTGTTCGCCGAACCGAACAGTGTTCGGTTCGGCAAACGGATGTGTTCGTCTAGGGGTGAACACGAACATGTTCGTGTTCGCCCCTTGCTCATCCCTAGGTGGGAGTGCCAAGCCGTCTCAAGAGCGGGGAAGGGAAAGGGGTTGGACGATCCAAGGGGAGCACTGCTAATTAATCTGCTGTGCATCATTGACTGGATCAGAGAAAGACAGGAGAAGGTGGTGTACCTACTGGAGCACCTGGACATGGAGGGGGATTGCCGGGAACCAGTCAGAAAGATCCGAGAGTTAGTAACACGGAAGCTGGGGAAGGGGGTAAGGTGTGACGCGGCCAGGCTGGGGGCACGGGCTCACCGTGTCAGATTTTGAGTCGACTCAAAAGCAGACTCACCGTGTCAGAAGGTATTGGCAAAATGTCGTGACGGACGAGCAACTGCAGAAGGAGCTGGATGGGATACCAAGGGACTGGAGCAGGACGGTGCAAGAGATATTAGAGCCAGGCAGGACAGCGGCGCCGGTGAAGAAGGGCAGGCACGAGACACAGTGCCCATGCAACAAGGTGGGGGCAGTACGCAGGGCCTGGCCGACATTGGTGGGGTACAAGGGGGCAGCAGGGTTTAGGGAGGAAGGAGGAATGCCAGGGGAAGGCATGGTGTACGATCATAGGACGAAGAAGTGGGAAGAACCAACGGCACTGGAGCGGGAGCTGGCGATGGGGTATGGGGAAGACATAACCAAGGCAGCAGGGGTGACGGAACAGGAAAGGAGGAAAGCGTTAGGACAGGCTATGGACGGTCAGGTCATGCAGTGGCTGATGCGGCGAATGTGGAGAGGGCTGGTGCTGGAAGGGGAGCAGAAACCGCGAAGGAAGGAGGAAGGGGTGAAAAAGGTGGGGGCATGGGCGTGTGTGGCAGTTCAGGAAGAGCCAGCGTGGGTTGTGGGAAATGCAATGAGCGAACAAGGGAAGAAGGCAATGCAGGAGGTGCTGGCCAGGTATAGGCATGCCTTTGCGTTTACCTTACAGGAGTTAGGAAAGTGCTCAGTGAAGGAGATGGAGTTGAAGCTGGTCACGGACGAGCCGGTGTTTCAAAGGAAGCGGAGAATGACACCCGGGGATGAGGACATCTGCAAGGAAAAATGCAAGGAGTTGCTAGAAGCAGGACTGATACAGAGATCAGAATCGGAGTACGCAACACCGACAGTGGTAGCCGCACGAAAGGACCTGCTGGGAGAGGTGCTGAGCCGGCGTATGTGTGGGGATTATCGAGCACTGAACAAGGTGACAGTGCCCGATAGGTACCCAATGCCGACAGCGGAGGACATTTTCGACCGACTGGGAGCAGGGGAGATCTTTAGCACGCTAGATTTGAGACAGGGCTTTAACCAGATCAAGATCAGGAAGGAGGACGTGCGGAAAACAGCATTCCATGGTGCAGACGGGCTGTACGAATGGCTGTTTATGCCATTCGGGCTGAGGAACGCGTCAGCCATCTTCCAAAGGGTAATGGACAGTGTACTGAGGGGGCTGGAGTGTGCAGCATGTTACATAGATGACGTAGTGATATTCAGCAACAGTGAGGAGGAGCACGTGCGAGACGTGGAGCGGATGCTGAAGGCGCTGGCGGCAGCAGGGCTGACCTGCCACCCAAAGAAATGCAGGTGGGGGGAAGCGACCGTGCAGTACCTGGGATATGAGGTCAGGGGCGGACAGATAGGGATTCAGCAGGCGAAGGTCGAGGTGTTGAACAGGCTGCAGCAGCCGAAGGACAGAAGTGGACTGAGAGCGGTGCTGGGTTTTCTGAGTTACTACCGAAGGTTCGTCCCTAATTTTAGCAAGCGTGCATCACCGCTGAATGGGCTGCTGAGAGAGGACAAAAGGTGGGAATGGGGGACAGAGCAGGAAGCAGCTTTGAGAGACCTGATGGAGGCGGTGCAGACAGCAACGATTCTGCAGCTGCCCAAGGCCGACAAGCCCTTCTGCTTGTACACTGACTGGAGCAGCCAGGGTATGGGGGCAATCCTGTGCCAAGAACTGGACGGAGAGGAGAGGGTAGTAGCG